CATAGCTCCCCACAGATTTTTGTCGCTAACGGCACTGTTTTTTCTGGCGGATGCTTCTAGCTAAAAGAATTTCAGGGGCGCCAGGACTGTCAGGAAACTTTCCTTCAAAATTTCAGTCTTGTATCTTCTCAAGTTCTCGAGTTAGCTACTTACCCGAAAAAAATTTTGGCGGGTCCGTGCGTGAGTGCCACGAATACCCGAGGGCTGGGTTCGAGCTCTTTAATACCTACTTGGACGGGTAAGGTCCCCTTGAAATTTCAGCCTTCCTGCATTTCTGGTTCCCGAGTTAGCAGCCTACCCGTAAAAGTGGTTACCACGCGGGGAAGGGCCCATTTTAGGGATTGCGGCCCATACGTATATGTAGATTAAGTCCCCAAAATTTCAGCCCTGTAGCTTTTATGTCTTGAGATGAAAAATCGGTGCAGACGCGCACACAGACACACGGACACACAGACAACCCCTCGTCAGGATGCGTTTTCTGCATTGCATAACTGCAAAAAACGCAAAAAAATTGGCCAACGCACGGGCTGCCGGTGCGAAGATGCGTTTTTTGCAGAGTTCCCTGCAGTTTTTGTCGCTACCGGCATCGGTTTTTTCGGCAGATAATGCGTTTTTTGCAGAGTTCCCCGCAGTTTTTGTCGCTACCGGCATCGGTTTTTTCGGCGATGCTTCAAGGGCTGCCCGTGCGAAGATGCGTTTTTTGCAGAGTTCGCCGCAGTTTCTGTCGCTACCGGCATCGGTTTTTTCGGCAGATGCTTCTAGCTGAAAGGAATTTCAGACTGGCCGCCGCCAGAACTGTCAGGAAACATCCCCTCAAAATTCCAGTCTTCTAGCTTCTCACGTTCTCGACTAGGTAACTTACCCGGAAGGAACCTTCACGGGCATGTACGTAGGTACCACGCTTACCCGCGGGCAGGGTTTGAACTCGTTAATACCCACTTAGACAGGGAACACCCCTGGTACCACGCTTACCCGCGGGCAGGGTTTGAACTCGTTAATACCCACTTAGAC